AATGTATCGTAAGGAACATAATGGTTTTAATCGAATAAGCTAAAGTACTCCAGACAGTTTGCAAAGTTTGGTCACGGTATATCACAGTATATTGCTCAGTACTTCTTGGCTTACATATACCACGGCGGTAACAACAAACAAAGTAGTGATATATGGATCAGCTCACCCGTCGACATATTTGGGGACCGCTCATGAGTGAGCGAATAAAAATGTTCAATCTGCATAAGAAAGAAGCAAAATACACCACTGAGTATATGTATAGTTTCAAATATCCTTAAAAATTATCCCCGGTAATTTGGGTTTCTGATAAGTTGCAGAATCTTACACATTAATAGTTTTTTTTTATGTTTTGATATTTGTACAAGGAAATATCAATAAGCTAGTGTATGTGATAGCTACATTTTATGTAAGTTACTGCCTACAAATATTATTCAGCATTATGGCTATTTTTTTAATAGCTGGTCTATAATATTCTACACACAGTGTGATAAAGGTTCGGCTCTTAGTCTACATTCTGGTTGATTGTGCATCATAATATGGCTTAGAATATTAGATACCTCGTAAGTACACAGTAATCCCGAAAGCCATATGGAAACAATTTGAAATATTGACCATACCTGACTGTAGGAGGACTATCCCCTGTTCAGTCGTGTCGCTTCAAACACGGAGCTTTTTTAGCTGCTGATGGTTTCTCTCGAACAGGATACATGTCTATTTTGTATATACCTGCACAGTTACTATAACAGTAGCAGGATAATGAATATTTCAAATACATTTGATTTTAGAAGGTATCTTCTGAATACGCAAAAAATAGTTACTCAAGTGACTTGATAGGACTTTTGAAAACGGTCAGACGTTTCAGGTAGTATCCACTAGCTTCCGTCAGTGACTTAAAGGACCAGAGGACAAATGCAGGTTTATAAGCACAAACTATTGATTAATTGATATGCAAATGAGATAATACATTTTTCTGGAAGTCCAAAAAGGAACAAAAGTCAGACAAGTCAAGACAAGATGATGCAAATTAGTAAAAAAACTCGTGCTAAACAGGAGCTTAAATTTTTTGGGGGAAATTTAAGGTCCGTTTAAATCAGTTGCTTGCTCAGCAGAGCTAAGGCGGCCCAGGCCTGCCTTGCCATATACCTCATTTCAATATTGTGATTAGCTACTTTAATATTGTAATGAACCAAGTGCGAGTGACTTGCTTGTTAATATGCATAAGTTTGAGTATCTGTTCACCGCCTTCGGTCCTGCCCGCTTTTGCATCTGTATCAAGCGTTAATTTCTCCTGGTGAGTTAATTGTTGGACCCCCAGGATTTTTTACAAGGTGGCCTCCAGCCAAAGGAAAAGCCAACTCAGGTCTAGATTGCATCAAGGAGGTCAAAAAGAAATATTTTTTACCTGCATGATTGCATAGAGGTTTCATGTTTTTGGGCTGTACTGTAAAAGTCTGAAATAAATTCAACTCGGTGCGGTGAAATCGTCTCTCCCCGGCAAAATCCCTCAGCAGCAAAACGTAGCTGTCCCTCCACGCCACCCCCCAAGAAATAATGCCCTGCTTCAGAAGTCTGCGAAGGAGGCTACGTTTCTCGGTCAATTTCTACTATTTATTCAGCATGCAAAGGAGTCTGAAGGAGGCTATTTGTGGCACAATGAAGCAAGTCGGAGGCCAAATCATTTTACGTTCACCGTTTCTGTCCTCTTGGTAGAAGCATGGAGGTAAAAATTAACAGTAATTTTTTTACCCCCATGGTAGAAGCATGGAGGTAGAATTTCTACCTCCATGGTAGAAGCAAGGACATTATACACTCTGTATAATGTCCTTGGTACATGTAGAAGCAAGTAGTAACCTTGATACCAAGACCTATAGCGCATTAGGCCCCGAGTTAGCCAGAGTACAGGCTCAGGGCTATAACTGAGAACTGAGAGGCTCTGTGGTAAAATTTCTTCGGGAGCATGTTAGTCCGGGACCCGAGAAGCTGGCCTAATTGTACGTACGCCCTGGAAACAGTCTGGCGCCCAGGCTAGTTAGAAGCAGCCTGATAGAAAAAAAATGCCCTTCCCGTTCGTGATATTTAAACAATCACAACACATCATGTAATTTTTGCTACTTTGTAACCCATTTTTTTTTCTGCCTACTTGAATCACTGGATCTCGTGATACGAGTCTCCCAGTCCATTTTCTGAGAGAAAATTATGTATATATACCATAGATTGTTGAGCAAAACTAGCTAAAATCGGTAATAAATGTTCTTCAGCCTTTGTTATGTAAGACTTTTGGTCATTTTGCTACCTTTTTTTTTCGTTTTCGTTTTTGTTCTTCTTCTCTTTCAACCAACCTCCTTC